GTGTGAAAAGGCCAGGAGTGGTGGCCCACACTTGTCATCCCAGTGCTGGGGAGGAGGGGATGGGCAGGTTCCTGGGCCTTGCTTGGCCAGGCAGGGGAGCTCAGGCTCAGAGAGAGAACTGTCTCAAAAGGGGAACAGTAACTGAGCACACCTGAGGTTGACCTTAGCTTCCTCACGCACATGCACAAATATGCACCTCACCAGCACGCACAGCTAAGCGCGCGCGCGCACACACACACACACACACACACACAGACACAGACACAGATTCAGTTATTGCTATCATCATGACATTGTTGAAACAGGAAAAAGGCTGTTGAAATCATTTTCTTCCCCATCGACTTTATTTCTCACTCAGTAAATATTGATCCCCACCCCTCCTGCTCTTATTTGAAATTAGAGTTGGAAAAGAACAACAAAACAACACAGCTCTTTCGGTGGACAGCAAGTGTAGCCTGGAAGTCCTGGGGCGCCCGTGCCTGGAGCTGCAGGTCCAGAGGGACTCTGGGAAGACAGCAGACAAGCCAGGTCACAGTCAGCAGGAATGCAGCGGGTGTGCATACTCACAGAGCACCAGATGCCGCCAGATGTGTTCAACCTGTGGCCAGTGGGCCACATGTGCCCCAGGACAGCTATGAACACAGTTTGACACAGACTGTCAGCTTACTTAAAACATTTAGATGATTATGAAAATCTAAGATAATATCTACAAAGGCACCCACAAAGGACCCAGAGCTAACACGAGGTGGGAAGGAATCTGTGCCTGCTGGTGATGACTGCTCACACTAACCACGGCAAGCCCATTCCCTGGAACACAATGCTGTCCGAAAGGATGCTCCTTTCTGTCCTTTTAGGGTTTTACTACATGGCCAAGGCTGTACTCAAACCTGCATGTTCCTGCTTCAGCCTAAGTTCCTGAGAACTGGAATTACAGATGTATGCCACCACACCTGACAGGATTTTAATTTCTCCAGAAGAGCTTGGGAAGGGACCATGGAGAAGAGGCGGACAGCAGAGATATGGCACCAGTTTGACAGCTAAGTGGTTGGACAAGACACTCAGGTGCCTACGTCACTGCCTCATCTGTAAAACAGGGGTGCCAGCTAACACCCACCCACAATATAGTGATGATATGAGCTTTAAAAAAATCTTTAGTTGGGCTGGAGAGATGGCTCAGAGGTTAAGAGCACCAACTGCTCTTCCAGAGGTCCTGAGTTCAATTCCCAGCA